CCTTCAGCAACAGTCAAGTAGACAGCCTAGACTTCTACTCTTGCCAGAATATAACGTAGCATTCCAAACCCTGCTACCAGGGTGATGTCAGAGAAGACCAAGTGAGAAGCTAGTAATTTCAGTTCATCTTGAGCCCAAAATTTCATCTACAGCTAGCACTAACAAAGAACCCCATCCTCTCCTTGTTGGTGAGGTATCAGAAACCTACTGGAGAGGCAGGACCCTTACCACTCATCATGGAAGCACACCCTCACAGTCAGCGAAGACCAGAAGTCTGGTATTTCGTTCTCATGCTGTAGGAAAAAAAAAAAAACTCTATCCCTTCCCCATTGGGTGGTATCAGAGACTAGTAAAGTTGGAACTTTTCATCACTGCTCAAGGGTAACACGGCTACCGTCCCACCAGAGGAATACAAGTGAATAGCAATAATAAAATACCTCTCCCCCTCCCAATCAGGATGGTATCAGCAAAGACCCAGTGGGGAGCCTAAACTCCCACCTCTACCCAGCAATAACAACAGACAGTTCCTTCCTTCACCATCATGGGCTATCAACAGTGGCTAAGTGAAGAACCTGGACTTTTACTTCCACCAGCAGTAACAAGGCAGTATCAGGTTTTATCCACCAGAAGGGTGCCAAAAAAGTCCTGTTTTAAATAAGATCCAGTCTTGTAACATAATACCCCAAATGTCCAAGTTTCAATTAAAAAAGCACACAGAATACCAAGAATCAACAGATCACAAACTGAATGATAGAAAACAAATGTCAACACCAAGATGGCACAGATGTTAGAATTATCAAACAAGAATTTCAAAGCAGCCATCATAAAAATTCTTGAATAATTACAAACATACTTAAATGAAAAAAAAATATGAAGTCTCAGGAAAGATATATAAGATAAAGAAGAAACAAGTGAAACTTTGAGAACTATAAAGTTTAATAACCAAAAAAACCCTCAATGAGTCAACAGTAGAATGGGGAAACAGAAGAAATAAGCAGTGAATTTGAAGACAGAACATAGAAATTACCCAATCTGAACAGAGAAACAGACATTCCCCCCTTCCCAAGAAAAGGCCTCAGGAATTTATGGAACTTAAAAAAAATCTTACATTTGTGTCATTAGACACCCACAAAATAAGATGGGGCTAAAAAGTATTCAAAAACATAATGGCTGAAAATTTCCCAAATTTGGCAGAAAAACATTCCCAGAGTAACCTCCAGATAGGATATATGCAAAGGCATCCATGCCAAAGCACATGGTATCAAACTTCTAAAATATGACAAGAAAACTCTTAAAAGTAGCCAAAGATACAAAGCATTAATTACAGATTTTTTTCATCAAAGAGTATATAAGCCAAAAGGAAATGATACAGTATTTTTCAAGTACAAAAGAACAGTCAAACCAGAATTCTCTATCCAGTGAAAATATGCTTCAAGAATGATGGGAAAATCACATCCTAAGACATTCAAACAGGGGGGTGCCTGGGTGGCTCGCTCAGTCAGTTAAGAGTCTGACTTTGGCTCAAGTCATGTTCTCCTGGTTTGTGAGTTCCAGCCCTGTGTTGGGTTCTGTGCTGGCAGCTCAGAGTCTGGAGCCGGGAGCCTGCTTCAGATTCTGTGTCTCCCTCTCTCTCTGCCCCTTTCCTTTTTTTTTTTTTTTTTTTAATTTTTTTTTTAATGTTTATTTTTGAGACAGAGAGAGACAGAGCATGAACGGGGGAGGGGCAGAGAGAGAGGGAGACACAGAATCCGAAACAGGCTCCAGGCTCTGAGCCATCAGCCCAGAGCCCGACGCGGGGCTCGAACTCACGGACCGCGAGATCGTGACCTGGCTGAAGTCAGACGCTTAACCGACTGCGCCACCCAGGCGCCCCTCTCTGCCCCTTTCCACTCATTCTCTCTCTCTCTCTCTCCCAAAAATAAAATATTTTAAAAAATTGAAAAAAAAAGACATTCAAAGAAAATTGGTCACCAGAGACCTACCCTAAAAGAATGACAAAAGGAAGTTCTCTAAACACAAAGAAAATGATAAAAAAGTGAAATCTACAAGACAATGATGAAGAAATCAAAGATGTAAATAAACATAGAGACTTCCCATACCATATCAATGGGTTGGAACATTTAACATAGTTAAGATGCCAAGTCTTCCCCAGACTGATTCACAGGTTTAATCCAATTCCTATCAAAATTCTGGCAAGATTTTTTTTTTTTTTGTAGATACAAACGAAATCATTCTAAAATTTATATGGAAAGGCAAAGGAACAGAAGAGCCAAAAAAAAATTTTTTTTTTTTACCAGTTTCAACAAGCATTCAAGTCTTTATTTCAGATAGCCATTTAAAAACACGGACAGCTTCACGAATCTGCATGTCACCCCTGTGCAGTGGCCATGCTAATCTTCTCTGTATCGTTCCAATTTTAGTATGTGTGCTGCCAAAGTGAGCATGAGCCAAAACAATTCTGACCAAAAATCATGTGAGAGCAATCACTCCAGATGATTTCAAGACTGATTATATGGCCACAGTAATAAAGACTATGTGTTATTGGTGGAACAACTGAGACAAATTAATGGAATAGAGAACTCAGGACCAGCCCACACAAGTATGGCCAACAGATCTGTGACAAAACTGCAAAAGAATGGAGGAAATACAGTATTTTCAAAATAATGGTGCTGAAATAATATCTACAGACAAAAAATTAAATCTTGACCTAAACTTCACACCTCATACAAAAATTAACTCAAAATACATCAGAAATTAAAACATAAACTATAAAACTTGTAAAAAAAAATAATATAGGAGAAAATCTTTAGGACCAAGGTCTTGGGAAAGACTCCTTCAACATTACACCAATACCATGAAAAGGCAGAGGGTGAGAGGGTGAGGGGAACCCAATTAAGTTGGAATTCATCAAAATCAAAAACTGTTAGGGCACCTGGGTGGCTCAGTCAGGTAAGAATTTGACTCTTGATTTCAGCTCAGGTCATGATCTCACAGGTCCGTGAGAGTAAGCCCAGCATTGGGCTCTGCTAGGTTTATTCCAAAAAGAGCCTGCTTGGGATTCTCTCTCTCCTTCTCTCTCTGCCCCTCCCCGGTTCAAACTCTCAAAATAAATGGATAAACATTAAAAAAAAAAAAAAAAAAAAAAGCTGTTGATCTATAAAAGACCCTGTTAAGAGGGTAAAAAGCAACAGAAAATATTGCAAACCACATATCTGACAAATGACCCATACCTACAAAAACAAAAGTTCTCTCAGAATTCAACGTTGAAAAAAAAATCCAAGTAGAAAGTAGCCAAAAGAAATGAAGAAACATTTTACCAAAGAAAAAAAATGGATGAGAAAGAAACATATGAAAATATGTGCAATATCATTAGCCATTAGGGAAATGGAAAAAACCATGAGACACACTCTCATCAAAACAACTTAAAATAAAAAATAACAATACAAATATTTATGAGAATGTGAAGAAACTGGACCTCTCATAAACTGATGAGAATATAAAATGGTACAGCCATTCTGGAAAATAGTTTGGCCATTTCTTTTTTTAAAAATAAACAAACGTACCATTCAACCTAGCAATCACACTCCTGGGCATTTATCCCAAAGAAATGAAAACTTCTATCTGTATAAAAACTTGTACACATTGGTTCATAGCAGCTTTACTTGTAATAGCCAAAACCTGGAAACAATCAAAATGCTCTACAATGGGTGAATAGCTGCACAAACTGTGGTACATAAATACCATAGAATACGACTAAGTAACAAAAATGAACTGATATATGCAGCAACTTGAATGGATCTCAAGGAAGTTATGCTGAGTGAAAAAAATAAATACCCAAAAGTCATAGCCTGTATGATTCCATCAAAATGACAAAATTATAGAAACAGAGAAGAGATTGGTGACTGTCAGGGCTTAGGGACTGGAGGGGAGGAGTGTCCATAGAAGGCTAGGCTAAGTATAAAAGGACATCATGGGGGTGCCTGGGTGGCTCAGTCGGTTGAGCATCTGTGACTGCGGCTCAGGTCATGATCTCACTTTTGTGAGTTCAAGCCCCGTGTCAAGCTCTGTGCTGATGGCTCAGAGCCTAGAGCCTGCTTTGGATTCTGTGTCTCCCTCTCTTTCTGGCCCTCCCCTGCTTGCACTCTGTCTCTGTCTCTCAAAAAGTTAAACATTAAAAAAAACTTTTAAATGAAAAAAAAAAAAGGATAGCATGAAGGAGAACTTTCTGGTAATGAAACAGTTCTGTATCTTAACTGCAGCAGCAGTTACACAAATCTACATATGATAAAATGGTACAGAATCACACCCACACTATGCTAATATCAAATTCCTGGTTTTGATTGTCATACTTCAATATTTAAGATATAACCATTGGCAAAAACCTGGATGTAGAGTACATGGGGACCTCTCTGTACTATCTTTGCAACTTCATATTGCAATCTATAATTATTCCAAAATAAAAAGTTAAAAATAACTATCAGGTGATACACAAGAACTTCTAACAGATTCCTTAGAGGAAATAAAACACCTATCTATTAAATCTACTTAAAGAAAATAAGTTTGCTCTGTTATTTTTTTGGCTCAGGAAGAGAGACAGGTTTTGAAAATACCTCACTGATATTTTCAGTTGAGAAATGTCATTAATAGTGTAAAGTAAAAATTGCATTGCTTATATGAAGGCATTAAAAAGTTAAAAATCAGTGTTAAAATGTACTGAGATTCACTGCACATTGTCTTTAGAAATGAAATTGATTCCATAGTTAATTGTAACAAAATCTAAATCCATATAAACTTAATTCTAAAATCACATCTCTTCAAACTACTTTATATAGTAAAATGTTATTTTTGTTATGTAAAACATTTGCAATACCAATAAAGTGGAAGTAAAATGAGGCCACTTAAAGTGAATGAAATGATTCCTCAAAAAAAAAAAAAAAGTTATACAGTCCTAGGTGTTAGAAATATTCCAATATCAGTAAAAAATATACAAATACACACAGTCCACAACTAGCCAATATTTTAATATACAATTTAGCTGATATATAAAAAGTGCTTTCAAGATCTGTTACCACCTAAAATAATACATCATATAATTTTCAAAAATGGTTCTTTGACTTCTAACCTCTGCTCTTCTTTAGAATTACCTGTGAGGGGGAAAAAATGAAGATTCATATTATACACAAGGCAAATAAAACAGAATTCCTCAACAAAATGTTAAATCATCCTATGTGTATAATATGCAAGATTCTGAATTTGTAAAATACAATTTAGAAGGTGATTAGGGAATTTTTTGCCTTATAATGGTCCTAGACTTCCCTAAAATAGTCTACTTCTCTCAAAAAATGTGAAACATGCAATTCTCAAAATTTGGTTTTATAGTCACTTCTGAATGTCAATTTCTTCAAACGTAAGCCCAAAGTACCCAGATTAATGGCTCCCAAATGGAGGTTTGTAGACAATTTAGTAATCCAGGGAGTTAAAGAATGTTCCAAAAGTCGAAAATCCTATTATAAATCAAGCATTTAACAACTATAAAGCAATACAAATCCACTGTAACACCAAATTTCTTACATTTGAGCTGGAATCATATCAATTTAGAGACCAAGACTAGTCATCTTATGCTAAAAAGCTCATTAGATAGACAATTTTCAAAACATATAGCCCATGAGAAAATAAAATTAGATCTCTAGCTGTAAAAGACAGGAAGCATTAGACCAAAATATATCCAAAAATTTTTTTAAAGAATTTACCTACTTATAGGTAAGTACACCTATAATAAAAACAAACTATAAATTTTAAATGTGCACATACGCTCTTCAAGCCCTTAAGCTTTGCTTTTCACCTGTAGAAAAAGACTTATATTCACTTTAATAGTCTAGAAACTTATTGGAATATAAGATAATTGAAAGCCCATAAAAAAGTATCAGGGCATGTACATTCCTAAGCTTCCACAGACGCCACCAAGTAGGTCTATATCCCAGGCCAGTAACTTCTCTGGTTCTACACATTAGTACCACAAAAGAAAGTACAACATACTCAAATTTACAAAATGCTGAGTATATTATACACTCAAATCTTTAAAATACTAAGTTAAATAGAGTTCAACAAGTTTCTTTACTGCTGCATCTCATAAGCTTTTATAACTTTACATAAATACAGTTACATAAAGATGGTAACACTGTGGGAAACTGGATAAAAGGTACATGGGAACTCTATTATTTTTGCATTTGTGAGTCTATAATAATTTCAAAATAAAAAAACATTAAACAAGTCTACCAAGAGGTAGACTGTCAAAAATAAGTCTTTCTCCCACATCATCCCCCAGTCAATCATGGTTGTCAATTTCTTGCATAGTATTACAGAAACAACCTTTATATAAAATATTGTGACTATTCAAAGAGATATAGTATGTCATCTAAATTTATCTGACCCCCAAAGCATTTTATGATGGGGCATCTACTAACATCAAATGAAAATAGTGATCTTGGGATATATTTGGGAAAAAACTACCCTAGGCATCATACTCTTACATTGTATAGAAATGCCAGTAAGACACAATCCTCTCTGTTTATATTAGTGATTTGATTCATAAGTCATTTGAATGCCAAAGTTAGAAAAACAAATAATTAGGGAAAATTTTAAGTGATCATGAAGTTCTCATAAATTTCGAGGTGATAAACCCTGTCAACTATATACGGCCTACTATTAAATCATACAGATTAGCAGCCAAACATTTATCTTCCCCTAAGTAATGATAAAGCAGTGGCCACAAATCTTTCCATCAGAAATCCACAATATAAACATATAGAAAAAGAAAATCTGGGGCGCCTGGGTGGTGCAGTCGGTTAAGCATCCTACTTCATCCAGGTCACGATCTCGCGGTCCCTGGGTTTGAGCCCCGCGTCAGGCTCTGGGCTGATGGCTCACAGCCTGGAGCCTGTTTCCGATTCTGTGTCTCCCTCTCTCTCTGCCCCTCCCCCGTTCATGCTCTGTCTCTCTCTCTGTCCCAAAAATAAAAAAACATTAAAAAAAAAAAAAAAAAAAAAAAAAAAAAAAGAAAATCTAACTCCATAATTAAAACCCATTAACATAAAAAGCCAAACATCCCTCTGTGGTAGGCAGCTGCCTAGGCTGCCATGTACCTAGGCAAGTGTCACACCACTAGGAGAAGTGGTGACATAACCGGTTGGCATTCTGGGCCTGGTTCATGCCAACTCTGTTGTTAACTATACCGGGATGCCAGCATAATCAAAAAAAAAAAAAAAAAAAAAAAAGCCACCAAACAACAAATCAGTCAAAAAAGCTGAATAAGGAATCCAAATCATACACTAGAGGATATTTTTTAAGTTAATTCTTGCTCAAGTAAAGCAAGTCAGATTTTACCTTTGCTGCAGCCTGTACATGCTCCTTTTTAATGACTCCACACTTATTCTCAAAAGCACTCATCCTGGACTCTTCTGCTAAACGCTGAACAAACAGTAAACAATTCAGGTGCACCTTGAAAGAGAAAATTCAAAAGGGCTTTTAAACTCAAACACTGATACTCTGAAATAATGGTTTTTAAAAATAAGATTCCAAAATTTAATGTTGTAATATTTACTAGTATAAGTTAATTCACTAACACAAAATTCAATTTAATATAAGTCCAACTTAAATTCAACACAAAAGAGACTTACTCATTGCAATACATGAAACAAGGCTATATAAGGCTGACCAAAGGCCAGAGATGATACCATTTATTGTAAAGCATAATTACAAAGTTTATGTAGGACTCTATTAAGTAGCAAACATTCTTCCTTCCAGTTCCAAATAAATTTGAATTGATAATGGAATTTCCCAAAAATTTAAAATCAAAAGGTATCAACAATTATATTTAAAGCTAATCATCTCTCATGCTATAATCCAAGGGCTTAAGATATTTTAATCATATTTAATTTGAAATATCTATTCAAAAACATGTTAGAGGCACCTGGGTAGCTCAATTGGTTAAAAGTCCAACTCTTATTTCAGCTTAGTTCATGATCTCATGGTTCTTTAGTTCAAGCCCCACATCCAGCTCTGCACTGACAGCATGGAACCTGCTTGGGATGCTGTCTCCCTCTCTCTCTGCCCCTCCCCTACTTGTTCTCTACCTCTCTCTCTCAAAAACAAGTAAACATTTTTTTAAAAGGTTAATAATTGAAATATTAAAAGTTTACTGAAAAGTATATATATAAAGGTCAAGTTACTTGTCATCCAACATATCAAAATAATATCTACTACTACTAATCTTTAAGGCTCTTTTTAAGACATTAAAATAGATAACATAAGCAGATAAATATTAATCATTTAGGTACAGCTAGATAATATCTTTAATATATTGGTCATTTATATAATATTATATGCTCTTTGCAGTAGAACAATACTCATCTAATATTTACTATCTTGTGTACTGCACACAACCACTCCTCCACAGTTCACTAAACATTAAATAACTAGATAATGTGGTGTTTTAAATTTAAATATTATACAGAAATCTTTAGTAGCTGGTTTTAGACGTTTAAGAATGTGTTAGTGATATTTGGAAAAAATAGAGGAGATTGGGAATTTAAATTTAATGAGATAAAGAACCTATGGAAAGAGATAGTCCTTTGGTACTTTTTTTTGATGTGCTGTCTTAATTCTCACAAGAACTCTAGGGTAAATCACCCAATTCTGATTCTTTACGTAATGCCCTGTCATTCAGTTCTTTTTTAAACTTCTAATGATAGCCCATTTCCTTCTGCAGCAAAAACATTCCATAATAGGGCACAATTTCCTGTTAATCTAGATTTCCTACTTCTAAATATATAATAGCTTCCAGATATGCCCAGGATAAATTCCTTAATACTAACCCCATTTGACTAGGCTGTTTCAGTTTCATCTCTCACCATTCTCAGCTCACAGTTCTATAGTAAGTCTTTTGAACTTCTTTTGGTATTTAAATACAACCTTGCCTACCGGCATCCTACTAGTTTGTAGACTTCTCTGAAAAGTCCAACTACCCCCAATATGTAAGGTTATGCACCCTGAACTTCTCACAACTGTACACACTACATACATTATGCAGCAATTTCTCACCTGTCTTCCTCAATGTACTATATAAGGGGAATAATTATGTCTAATTTCCCCAACATTGTATCCTCAGTGATCTTAGCCATTTACACACACACACACACACACACACACACACACACACACATAAGGTAGTCAACAATTAGATCTGTCCATCTCTCCACAAATTAGGCAAAAAAAATTTTTTAGTCAATCTGCAATGAACCACACTCTGTTTTGGAGAACTGATGGGTGTCAGAGAGAAGGGGAATGGGGGGATTGGAAAATGGGTGAAGAAGTATAGGAGATACAGGCTTCCAGTTATGGAATGAATAAGTCACTGGAATGAATAAGTCACTGGAATGAACAAGTCATGGGAATAAAAGGTACAGCTCAAGAAATATAGTCAATGTATTGTAACAGCGTTGTATGGTGACAGATGGTAGCTACATCTGTGGTGAGCAGAGCATACACACTTGTTGAATCACTATGTTGTGCATCAACTATACTTCACTTTTGAAAAAATGAAAAGGCAAAAAACAAAAATTCCCAAACTGCTTTGAGATTTAGTTCACCCTATTAACCTATGTGGAAAGACCTGCCTTATAAACATGAGCCACAGGTACTGAGACAAATTAATATTACTTTTTTTAATGTCACAGAATTTTTTTTTAAAGCAACCTAATCCTCTGTCATAAAACAGTTAACTGAGTGGTGCCACTCAAATGCACTAAGGTTTAAATTAAAATGGTCCTAACAAAAACAAATTTTAAGGTATCCCACAAGGCACTCAAACTTCAAAATGACCATTCTATCAAAAATTTACTTGGGAAAAAACGTCAGTTTGCTTGAAAGATAAAGCGAAAGATAATTTACAAAGAAATATCCATTCCTTTACAGTGTCAATTGGCCAAAAGACTGGGCCAGCCTGATTTCCTCCTCCCTTCACCATAGCACTTTTCAATTTTACACAAACCATAAGCATCCAGATATTTGTACAGCATTACTAGTGAGAAATCTGAAAAACAACTAATCCATGAGAAAGCTGAACAATTTATTCAGATTAATAGATGTACTCACCAGTACTGGACATGGGGATATACAATCAAGTCATAATTTAAAACAACAAAAAGCCAGTGCAGAAGAACTATGAAATAACACAAAGACTTTATGAGTAAAATGTTATAAATAATAATCAACCCACATTAATTACCATGCATTCCCAACACTAGTTGTATACTCATAATACTCAAAGTATTATACCAAAGAGTAGGAATACAAAAAGTTCCCAATTCAAAGTCCCCATCCAATGAGAGAACCAAACCTATACGAAATTAAAGACAAACATTTGTCCATAGATGATACAGAAAGATAAAGTTGGTCCTAAGATTAAGGAGGACTCAGGAAGTGGCTGGCATTTGAACTAGATTTTGAAACTGGGAGTTTACCAAGTAGAGTGAGGACATCTTCAGGTAGAAGAAATACTATATACAAAAGACAACCTTACAAAAGACAACAATACTATATACAAAAGACAAACCTATATACAAAGTAGATTGGTTTTGAGGCTCCTGGCTGTGCTCAGTTGGTGGAGTGTGCAACTCTTGATCTTGGGGTTGTAAATTTGAGCCCCACGTTGAATGTAGAGATTATTTAAAAATAAAAACTTAAAAAAAAAAGTGGATTAGTTTTCTTTTAAAGATAATGGGAGACAAAAAGGATATGTATGGTTCCTTATTCTCAAGAAGATGCATACCACACTGGGAGTCAAAACTGACATATGAAACTTAGAGAACAGTGCTAGAGTCTCAATAGCTAAACTGTAATCACTGATATCAAAGTTCAGAAAAAACAGATCAAAACTGACCACCATAATTGTAGAAAAGTTTATGGATGACGGGGGACACTTGCTGGATAAGATTACAAAGTGTCAAAAGCAAGCAGAAAACCATAGGCAAAGAAACCAAGGTGATGGATGGCATATACAAGACAGTGACAGAGAACCAACACAAGCCAAAGACAAGCATACAACCTAGGAACAGATGCCAACAGAAGCCTCCTTTCCTCTACCACTGCAACTGCGTGACATTTCCCTTGTCTCCTACAGCACCTGGATCCCAATCCACAATAGAGCCCACCTGTCCATGGATCACTTTGAGGCAGGCAGCTCAGGGAGGGATATGGGAGGACTCTGACTACTTGAGAAATTTCTGCCAAATAATCTGCTCCAATTTGTAATCTCATAGATATTCTGGAGCAGGTACATTTCCTCCCCCTCCAATTAGAAACCCAGCACCAATGAAAACTCCAGAATAAATTCTTAAAAATGTTCTGCAGATCACTTTATTTAATCCAGCTCATTATGCTATTTTGCCATTGGGGGAGAGGGGCATTCAAAATTGTATACATAAGATGACTCTTGAAAAAGATAGATTTTTTTTTAATACAGTACTGTAAATGCATTTTCTCTTATGACTTTCTTAACATTTTCTTTTCTCTATCTTACTTTATTGTAATCATACAGTATGTAATACATATACAAAAAATGTGTTAATCAACTGTTTTATGTTACCAGTAAGGCTCTGGTCAACAAGAGACTATTAGTAGTTAAGTTCTTGCAGAGTCAAAGTTATACATGGATTTTCAACTTTGGGGAGGTGGGAGGGGTCATTCAAGGGTCAACTGTATTGTCTTTTCTTACAGGGTCTCGAAAGGGATAAAAAAGAAGGGCAGGAGATATCAGAAGGGCTACTTTTCCCAGAAGAAAAAAAAAAAAGCTATTTTGGCTTCAGAAACCAAATAATGGAAAAGTGAAGACAATTCTATAGTACTCTAGCAAATACAGAAACGCTGCACTTGCAGGCAACAGATGGGAAGGCAGTTAGTGAATTCGGGAAGGCTACAGAGAAGAGTTGAAAACACCCAAGGTAGCTTAAGAACAGATAGATGACGCATTCTGAAGACATTCTCCAAGCCATATATCCTGGCTACCCACAATTCTTTACCTTGACTTCCTGGAAATTAGGTGCCCACTTACAATGGCTCCTTTACTCAAAAAGCTCGTGACAAAAGGGAGGAAGTGCCTCTTTTGGTTTAAACCTAGGGAAAGAGTGTTTATTCTGCTAGAAAACAATATGCTCCAGGCATACAACATAAAAACTCTCAATTTATTTCAAGATAGAAATATTACACAGTGGTTTTGGTTATGGTGAGCATTATGCTGCAGGATTATGAGTAAGATAAACAAGTTTTACTGGTTTGCCTTGAAAACTCAACTAAGAGGTGCTCTATTTGTCTAGGAAAATAAATTCACAGTTGAAAGCACACTGCTTACAAGTAAACTTAGATTAGTGTTCTTTAATAAGTAAGCTAAAGTAGAGGAAATAGGGAAATATGTCTGGTTAACTAAGTAAAAATGGGGGTAAGGGAGAAAGGCAAGGAAGGAGGTACACATTTAAAAGCCATGTCAGTAATACCCTTTACAAGAGATAAATATAACCCAGCCTGAATTCCAGATTTTTTTTTAACTGTATCTTTCATACCTTTTTCAAGTACACTTAAGCGCAGTACCAGACTGTGCTCTGGAAAAGTGATATGTAAAAGCCAAAAGCAGAAATTAACGTTAGTTTTCGTAAGATGATGTGGCTAATAGCCTCCCGTAAAAAAGGTCCGGATATTTATATTTCACCGGGCCCCGGGACAACTAAGCGTTATACGAACTGACCAGCCAAACCGGAGCAAACCTGCCCTAGTCATTGCTGGAAACGCCTTAAACGGAGGCCGGAAAGAGCTGGGGTGGCGAAATAAAACCTGGGGTTTATTTCCTTTACCTTTCCTTGCCCCATTCCCACCCAAAAAAGGGACAGAATCTCACCAGTAAGTCGCCACTTGTCTCTAGACGAAGGTGAGGCTTCTGTCGCTTGAAGACGCGCTTAAGAAAGCCCCGGGGAGCCTTCCGTTTTATCTTCTTTCTCTGGGAGACTGTGGTCGAGGGCGCCATTCTCTCCCTCAGGCACTAGCCGCCTTCGCTACCAAGATCCTCCTGGCACCGCACTGAAATTCACACCCGAACGGACAGCAGGAAGCACCCAGCCGCTGGGACACTCCTTCAGGCCCGATACCCCAGCCCGAACGTTTGAATCCGCCGCCAAAGGAGTGCGCCCGGCGCTCGGTAGTGACGTAGGCTTGGCGCAAGCCCCGCCCCCGGAGGCGCCAGGGTAGAAAACACCCTCCTCGGTGGGGGCCCAGGGATGTCATTAAAGGGCCAGGCTTCCGTTCTTCGATTTTTGTGTAATATCAGCGCTTTAGAACTATTTCTTCTGTGTTTCACAGAAGTGTTGAGAAATTATGGAAAATGATTGTATGCCAAGGCAATTACACTTACTGAACCTAATACCAGCGGACTGAGAAGTAGATGAATAAATGTTTGTGATGTTTTATCAGGATTCCTGAAGAAACAATGCTTTCCTAACAAGACATGAGTTTCTGATATTAATGCCTAACAATTTACACATTTACATAATTTCATTTGATCTTACTTGAGGTATTTTATGACTCTAGCTTTTCTTTACAAATGCTGCTCCTTTCCATTTTAAGGCCCCTGCACTTAACCTTGCAATAAATTCAGGTGTAGTTTAAGTGCTACCTCATTGAAATCCTTGCTATTTCTCCCAATTAACTTTTTTATCTTCTGTGCTACAGGACACTAGTCCCTAAACTTTATTGTGCATCAGTGAAGCACCACTCTCAGGGGTTCTGATTCAATAGATCTGGATGGGACTTGAGAATTTGCATTTCTAACTAATCAGGCCATGTTGGCACTGCTAGTCTGAGGACCACACTGAGAACACTGTGATTTTCATTGTAATTACCTCTAATACTATACCTGTAGTAATTATTGTGATTTCCGTATCCACACAGTTGATCGTTCCACTATCTGGCCTCCCATTTCCAAGGCCTTCTCTCTGCCCATGATGCTATCTTTCACCCTATCATCCAGTCACACCTACAGTCATACATTAGGCCATGTCATCACCAAATACTATACCTTTCCATATTCACAATTCAGTTGTCTCACTCTTCAACCTCATCTATCTTTTCAACTCATTCATGCCAGTATCCCAACTCCAACAATTCTTAGACGACACTGGGCTAGTAGTCCTCTTTCTTTATATTCCTACCAGACTCCAAACCCTACTCTTCTCCTTATCCTCCCTCCTACAGTCCATTGTGCATTATTATAATATTCCCTTACACTTTGCCTTAGCTCTGTAGCCATTCTTTTTCCCTTTATACTCACCTGACAAACCTCCATCCCTGTTTAAATTACAATCTCAATCTATTCTGTACTTGCATCTGTGAATTGATATTGGCTTAATTAAAATACACAAGACAGGTCTGTGTTGGGTCTTAATTTAAATTCATGACCATTCAAGTGGGTTTTAAGTATTTCCGGGAGTCTTTTGCTCTTTCTGAAGTCTTTTCATTCACCCATTCTTTTCCTCAAACCTCCCTTCACTCCTATCCCATCCTCACCCTCAGTTGATAACATTGCTTCACTCACAAAACCTAACCATCCCATAGAGACTTTCCACATAATCCCACCACCATATCTATCCATCAATCTCCACTTTCTCCCACTGATGAACCATCTGTGACCACTCCACTTGGGCCGTAGATCCCTGTCCTCTCCCTTTCTTAAGGACATTCTCTGGCAATTCTCCCTTCTTCTACTTCATGAATTTTCCTTCTTTGTTGATTTTTTTCCCATCTGTACACACACATTCTGTAATATCTCTAGCCTTTTAATATCCCTTTTTAGATCCTATTTTTAGCCACTGTCCTTTCACAGAAAAACTAGAAAGCATTGGCTACATTTGATGTCTCCAGTTCCCTTTCCTCCATTCTCTCTTGAAGCCACTGCAAGTCGAAGTTTTATACCCATCTCTGTAGCAAATTTGTTTTGGTCAACATAATTAATAACACTTTAATATTCAATGGTCAATTCTGAAACTTCAGTTTATTTGACAAACAAGGAGTATTTGTTGGGTTTTATAATTCTTTCTTCCAGGAAACATTTTCTTTAATTTGATGCTATTCTCTTTTGGTTTTCCTCCTACCTCATGGCCCTTCATTCTCCATTTCTGGTTTCTCCTTGTGTACTTTGTCTCAAAATACTGAAGCACAGGGCTCAGTCCTTAAATTTCTCTATCTACACTCTCCCTATGTGATCTTATCCAGTATTTTTACTTTAAATACCAAATTTACATCTCCAGCTAATTCTCTTTCCCAGACATGTATATCCAATTCTCCACCAGACTGGAATTTTAGTCATCTTAATTTAACATACCCAAAATTAGCTCTTGATATGCCCCTATATTCCAAATATCCTCACACTAACTTACCTATCACAGCTGATGACACTTTCATTTTTCCAATTACTAAAGCCAAAATCTTGGAATCATCCTTAGCTCCTCTCTTTCTCTCACCCCACATTCAATCTTTCATCAAATTTCATCAGCTCTATTTGCAATATCTGATAACTTTTGGCCAAGTCACCATGATCTATCACTTGGATTATTGCAACACCCTCCTGACTGTGTCTCAGGCTGCTGTTTTCCTTAACAGAAGAGCCAGATTTAACTCAGATTATGTTACTCTTTTCAAACCCCTTCCATTTCCATCAAAATAAAAGTTTCTACAATGACTTATGAGGTCTTACCTGCCTTTCAAGTACAAATACACTTACAAATGCACAACTAACTCTGACTTTACTTACCACAATTAAGCAACTCAAGCTTCTCTAACTGTATTAGCATTCTTGATAGCCTTCAGGCACACCTGAATTCCATCAAATATACCAAACACTCCTCCATCAAGTATTTGCATTTACTATTCCCTCTGCCAAGGATACTTTTTCCCCATTTATCTGCAGAAGTGTCTCCATCACTTCCTTCAAGAGTCTGCTCTGACAAGTATCAGAGACACATCCTATTTAAAATAGAAACTCCAGGGGTGCCTGGGTGTCTCAGTCGGTTGAGCATCCAACTCTTGATTTTGGCTCAGGGCATGATCCCAGGGTCTTGGGATCAGGCTTCACGTTGGGTTCCAAACTAAGCATACAGCCTACTTAAGATTGTCTCTCTCTCCCTCTGCCCCTCTCCCCTGTGTGTGCACGCTCTTGCGCTTTCTCACACGCGTGTGTGTGCTCAAATAAAAAAAAAAATAGAACCCTCCCCACATGTAAACACATAAAAACCTAGACACACCCATACACATATGCACAGACACAAATCCAACAGTGTGCAAAAGCTGACTTATCCTCCCAGAACTTTGTTCAATGACATGATGTTGGTAGCCAAAAGTATTTACACCGTGGGAATTGGCAAATGTAGAAATCAGGGTTTTGGGTTGTTTTTTTTTTAGTTTTTGTTTTTCTGGAAAGGAAGTTGTTAAACGTTTACCAACATAATACTGCACATATCCCTGCTGATCTAAATATACTAACACTGTCTGTGTTTTATTTTTGTCAACAGCACTTTCCACTATCTAATATTTGCTTCTGTATATAGAAAAATGTTATAGTAGCTTTATTTATGATAGAAATAATTGGAGACAGTTAGTATTCATAAAGAGAGGAATGGAAATATCTATTGTCATATGTATTAGTTTCCTAGCATTACTGTAACAAATTACCACAAATTTAATGCTTCAAACAATACAACTTTCCATCTTTCAGTATTGCAGGTCAGAAGTCCTAAAATCAGTGTCAGAGTGCTTTCTTCTTTCAGGAGGCTCTAGGGGAGGGTCTGTTTCCTTGCCTTTTCTAACTTGTAGAGGCCATTTCTGTTCTGCCCAAGGCCCCTTCCTCCACCTTTAAAGCACATCACTCTAACTTCTGTTTTGATAAGCACATCTTTTTCAGACTCTAATCTGCCTGACTCCTTCTAAGAACCCTTGTTATCACAATTGGTCTACCCAGATAATCCTGGATAATCTTCTCATCTCAAGATCCGTAACTATGATCACATCTGTAAAGTCTCTTTTGCCAAGTAAGGTAACATTTTCAGATTGTGGAGATTAGGACATAGATATCTTTAGGGGTGGCATTATTCTGCCTACTACATGATCTCTTCCTGGACTTGATTCTACAGAACTGTTCAACAGAACTTTCTTCAGTGACAGATATGGTCTATATCTGCTCTGTCCAACACAATAGCAATATGTGGCTATTGAGCATTTGAAATACGGCTACTATAATTAACAATATTAATTTTATTTAAATATAATTTACATTTACATTTACTAGCCACATGTCACTAGTAGCTACCATTTTGGACAGTGCAGTTAGAGCAAACTAACAAGTAATTTTCTGTGATACTTTGGTAGGTGAGTGGAAGCCAAGAAACAGGATTCAAAAAGGAATTTCAATTTATCTGCATTTTTCATACTTTCTATAACGAAAACACTTTGTTATTAAATTTTTACACATTTTAAGAATATTGAAGTAGAGTATAAGGGTAATAATTTATGTATTTATCCCTGTAATGAAACATAGGGCTCAATTAATTAGATAGGTTTCAATTAATTAGAACTCTAGCCCATACAGCTAGAATCTTCCCCCAAAACTGAAAATGTCTTGAGTGATGACAGCCCTAGGTCCAAATTCAGGGAAAGTAAAAGGGAATCTAGATAGAAAGACCAAGATCTGGATAGGAGTAGCATTGACGCCAGAAGGATAGATACATCACCTTCTTTATCCCAACCAGTCCTTCTAATGTAAACTTTGCATTCATTTGAAAACCACAGACCTCTTTGACACTGCTGTTTACTTTGATGTTTACAATAATAAAATTTGTTCGAAGAAAATTATTTAGAGATCCCCCACCATGCTACTCTAAGGCATTGGTGTATATAAAAAACAATTAAAATTTTTGAGAATTTTTGCCTTTTTTTGATGATGACAACTGTTGATGTCTGCTAAGGTCATTTTTAAATAGGGATGCATTTTTTTTTTCAGAATCTACCCTAAGAAAATTATCCTAAATATAAAATCCATTTTATGCACAGAGATTTTAAAAATATTTTTTAAAACATGTTTGATGTGTATACATTTGGGCACATCCATCCAGCTGTGGCCATATTAGAAATGACATTTA